GCTGATTTCTTCCATGTCGATCAGTTGTTGTTTCTGTTCCTTTAGGTTTTGTTTGGGTATTCACACGCCTTGTTTTAGTTTCTGAGCTGTTAGGTGGTGTCTTATGGGTGAGATTCACACTCTCTGTATAATGAGTCAGTGGTCCATGAAAGGCTGTTCAGGGATGCCATCCCTGTCGTAGGTGGCGCTGCTTTGAGGGACGGGGCTATGCTGTTCGTTTTTGTGTCCTGTTATCAGTCTTGTTCTGGGGCATAGCTGAAGCTGGGTTGGGTAAGCCTGCCCTCAGGCACCACCAATGTCATTAGCAGGGGTCAAAGTTCTGTTCTCTGCTTCCATTAAAAGCTGTCAGGGTAGGGCTGGAATGGCCCCGCTCAGCCTGAAAGTCTGCTTGTGGGGGTGGGGCTGTCTGAGACCTGCAGTCTGGAGCAGGCCTCGCTTCTTTCCACCCTCCCCAACTCCTGCAGCTACTCCTGGGGCTGTGCCAGCAGGCCAGACCACACGTCACCAGGCCTCCCCAGATTTTGATGCCAGCAGGGAAGTTCCCTGTGCAGAAACACCACCTGGGCAGGCGTACGGCCTCCTTTTGAGAGGAGGGTTGCCCTCTAGGATGCTGATCTGCCGCTGAAGGCACACACACCTCAGTAGGCTGTTCACATATATCCCTTCTGTGCCCTGGGCAATGCTAGACCTGGGTGCACGGGATCTGGTCTGCAGGTCCTACCTCTGGGTCCCAGAGTTCAAACTGTATCCCCACCAGGTAGAGGAGTTCTGGTCCCAATTCACCCACAGGGAGCCCAAGCTGGGTCTATGTCTCTCAGCCTCTGAGTGGGCACCGTTCTCCTGGGAACACCGTGCCAGCAGCACCTGGGAGGGCTGGCGGGTAGGGAGCTCACAGTCTGAATTCCCCTTAGTCAGCTGTAGAGTCCCAAAAGGGAAGGTCTTGTTCCCTGGAGGTGCCTCCAGCTGGTGGCTGTATTGTCTCTCTGGGCAGCCGTGGGTAGGGTCCATCGGAGGGGAGAAGGAGGCAATATGGTTCCTGTCTCGAGGCTCGGGTCTGTGCATACAGAGATGCCGGGAGGGAGTTGGGAGCTTGGTGCCGCGTCTGCTACAGGCTGACCGCTAGCTGGCGGTGGCCGTCTCTGGGCTGGTGTCCACAGGTCTCTCCACCCGCTGGGGAGCCCACCAGCAGTCCCAAATGCAGGGGAGGGGAAAGGTGACTTATCCACCTACCCTTCCCGCTGGGCTCCGGGCTGCTCCGGCGGTCTCAGCTTCCAGTTCTCCTCCGCAGCCTCCTCTCGTGGAGTCTCATGGGGTCTCAGGTACCCCTCCTTCCGTCCCTCGTCCACTGTATGCTCGTCTTCTTGCTTCTTTTTTCTAATTTCTGCTAGAATCTGTCTTTTCTGCAGAGACACTCTGTCTGGCGGTGTTTCTCGTCCGCCATCTTGATGGCTCCGATCAAAGCCACTTTAAAGTAAACAATTTGATGGCATTTTTGTGACTTCACAGGTCAAACAATTGCCAAGGATTGAGGTGAAGAGAGCAAATGAAAAAAACTAGCTTCAGATAGAAGAGCAAAGCCCTCTTCCACTGGGGCAGACATAGGCAGGCACGTTTGCTGCTGTATGGAAGTCTGACAATGGCATGGGGCTGGGAGCTGACAGACTTCTTGCCTGATGATCAGAGAGGAGAGGAGAGAGCACAACACAGAGGGTCATGTAGTCCACGGGAGGACTTTGGGTTTGACCCTGAGTGAGATAGGAGACACTGAAAGTTTCCAACAAGGAGAAGGGTGAGACCTGGCTGATGTCTTACCACTGATTTGAGTTGGGGTTCTCCTGGGTTGTTGATGGTAAAATAATGGGGCCATTTCAGGTATTACAGTTACCAGGCCCAAGATCCCTTATTCAGATAGGAGGTGCTGAGGGAGGGATTGGCTTTGATATGCTTACAGGAGGAGGTGCGTAGGCTATAACTTCAAGGTCTGTGCACCTCCTCTTGGTGTAGGGACTAATGAGGTTATGATTTTCATTCTCCTAGTCTCTACCTTAACCCTGGTCTCCTGAGCTTAACCTCAGCCCTCCTGTTCCAAGTTTTCATTCCTTTAAGTCTGAAACCTGCCTGCTTTGTCTTTGGGCCTTCCCTCACCCCAGCTCCCTCTTGTAAGTTGGGATTCCACACATAGACCCTCATCGACTCTGAGTTGGACTTTATGGGCACAAGTTTCTGTGCATGGTCCCATGTGCCTGGGGAATGGGACCCTAGTGTCCCATTTTCTTCTGGAAGGCCTGACAGACACAGAGACATTGAGGCCCCTGCTGTTCCCCATCTTTCTGCTGGTGTATATAGTGGTTGTGGTTGAGAACCTGGGCATCATCAGCCTTATCATGGTGGACTCCCAACTCTGCACTCCCATGTACTTTTTCTTAGGCAACCTCTCACTGCTGGATGCTGCCTGTATCTCCAAAACAGTGCCTCAGATGCTGGTGCATCTGCTGGCTGCAGTGTGGACCATGCCCTATCATGCTTGTCTTATTCAGATATTCTTTCTCCACTGCCTGGCACCCTGGTAGTGCTTCCTACTTGCAACCATGGCCTATGACTGCCATGTAGCCATCTTCCAGGCACTGCACTACCTGGTCCTCATGGGCCAACGGATCTTGACAGGACTTGACTCAATCTCTTGCCTGATTGCCTTGGCCAATGCACTCACACACACCATGTTTGCAGCTGTACTCAAGTACTGCAGGCCTCGCCTTATCACCCACTTCTGTGACCTACTTCCTCTGCTCAAACTCTCTTGCTCCAGCACATGGGCCAATGAACTTGCCCTGTTCTTCAGTTTTCTGGTGGCTCTTGTGCCCTAGTGGCTCCTGTACCCAGGTTATGATCTCCTCTATACACATGGTAGCTGCTGTTCTCAAAATTCCCTCCACCAAGAGCCATAGAAAAGCCTTTTCAAGCCATGGTGCCCACATTGCTATGGTCTGTATTTTCAACCTCATTTTCATTCTCTGCTATATCCTTCCCAGCTCTTCATATTCTGGCTTGTAAGACCGGGTGCTCTCCGTGCTGTCTGTGGTCCTCACTCCCATGCTCAACCCCATCATCTACAGCATAAGAAACAAGGAAGTGGGCCAGGCGCAGTGGCTCACCCCTGTAATCCTAGCACTCTGGGAGGCCGAGGCGGGTGGATTGCTCAAGGTCAGGTGTTTGAGACCAGCCTGAGCAAGAGAGAGACCCCGTCTCTACTAAAAATACAAAGAAATTAGCTGGACAACTAAAAACATATAGAAAAAATTAGCCGGGCATGATGGCACATGCCTGTAGTCTCAGCTACCCAGGAGGCTGAGGCAGGAGGATTGCTTGAGCCCAAGAGTTTGAGGTTGCTGTGATCTAGGCTGATGCCACAGCACTCTAGCCCAAGCAACAGAGTGAGACTCTGTCTCAAAAACAAACAAAAAAAAAAACAAAAAACAAGGAAGTGAAGAAGGCTTTGGCAAGGCCCTTGGGAAAGAAAGGACCTGGTAGGCACCAGTCACATCAAATCAAGGTTGCACTCCTTCTCCACAATGAGGCTGCCACATGCCTGATGATTTAGGAGTGAATCTGATCACATAGGAGTTTGTAATTTAATGTAGAAGATCCATGAGGTGAAACCTATTTTGTGTGTCAGGTTTTCCCCCATTTCAGCAAAGATCAAATATTTTTGTTGCATTTTTAGTTCTTTTTTTTTTCATAAATAAGTATTATAACTTTATTAAAATGAAAAGACAATATTCAAAATAATGCAACAAAATGAATAAACTCCTTTGTCCAATACTGTACACATAATGCAGAAATCAGTGCATTTTTCTTAAGCATGTTTTAACCTTCATTTAGTTCATACTAAAATATAATAAGCTTTAAATAGCTCAAATAATATTCAGCAGTTTAAATTGTAAACAGCTTGTTTAACTATTAAGAGAACATTGTAGTAACGTACCTCTGTTAGTGAGCACCTTCTCTCTTGTGCTTATCTACTCAAGATAAATACCTCGAAGGATGTGAGAACGTGAACACAAGCTATGTGTCTCACTGCACCTAAGTGAAGCAGCCAGCTGTGAGGGTTTTCAAAGCAGAAAGATGCTTATGGTATTAAGACATATTGTGCTATTGGTCAGAAGTGTTTTATTTAAAAAGCAAACAATCCCCAGGAAATACTGAATAAGAACCAGCAACATAAGGCCAGCTTGTGTTGTATTTGTTTATTAATAGTCTAAAAAAAAACAAAAACAAAAACCATAACATACATCCCCACACAATAATTCTCAATCACATAGCTAATTGCTTCATTATTTTGTCAAACTGACATCCTGAACACTGGCACCGAGTATGCTTTTCCACCTGAGTCTCATGTATCCCACTGTCTCTGCGAGGCCCACAGTACACTGGGTCACTTCAGTGGGTGGAATCAAGCAGGAATTGTAAGAAAAAATTATTCACTAATTCTATTTTCTTTTCATTCTTCAAGATGTGAGACATGTACAGATGACAGTATGGTTGCCAAATAAACTGCTCTCTCCCCCCTCAACAAGACAAAAAAATGAGACCTGGAATTAGGCCGTGGGACGACTTTAAACTAGGCAGGTACAGTCATGGTAAAGAATGGGTATCCTGCCCTTAATGGAAAAGACTGCTTGCAAAAATAAATGAAACAAAATAGAACAGGCCTAAAAGCCAGGAATCTTCAAAGCTACAAAACAAAAATAATTTTTAGAATGATTCTGATCTAAACAATACTGTATTCATTTGCAGGGAATGAGCAAAAAAAAAATAAATAAATAAAAAAAATAAATAAATAAAAATAAATAAACAATACTGTATTTTCTTCCATTTGCTCAATTTTCAGTCTACCAGGACTCATTTCTCCAGGTTGAGTTTTTGCTATTCTGAATATATATTACTCTAAGACTATAACTAACTGGTTAACCCACAACTATGCTCTATGGTTATACCACAAGTTATATATAGGTATATAATGTATGCATATATAAAAAGTTCCCCCGTCCTTCCCTCCCACCATCACATCTTTAAATTATAGACTTGAATAGACTTTTCTCTATCGCTAACAAAATCAGGGATTCTCGGCATAACAGCATCTCTCAACTGCTCTAAATTTTTCTCATTAAGACAAGAGAGTTCAACTATTTTACTTTGCAGTCTGAAAGATTTTTCTGTGAACCTCAATCAAACTGGAAAATTGAGAACCATTTGCTCCTATATAACCTGCTGAACCACAACCCCCAAGTCTAAGGAGAAACCACGTAGGACAAGTGTTTACGCTTCACATGGCCACCCAGATCCATCTTTGTTTTTGAGTCCAGCTTTTCTGTGGCTGAAACCATACTGCAGTCAGCAGGTAACGCCTGGATTTGGGTGCTTGCATGTGTTTCTTCTGCTTCCCTAAAAAATTTTTCATATTTGTCCAGGTACGGCAGTCTCTCAGGTAGCAGGTAATAATGTGTTGAACTAACCTTCTTCCCATTTTCAATAATGGGCAGAATGCAAGGAACCTTATTGGCAGATCCCTCGCTGTTCTATCTTTGCAGAGCTTTGCTGCTGACGTACTTGGGATCAGGGGCAAAGCTCTGTGTCGGGGGCATGACCCCATTGAGGTAAGACGGAAGGCTTTTAGGACTTGGTGTGCGGGAGTTACTTTGGGATAAAGGTTCTCTTGGCAGTACTTTGGGAGGCCTGTCTTCATCGCTATAGGTGCTAGACGTAACTTCTGCTGACCACCTTCTATAATCTGGCTTTACTGGCCTAGGAGGTATGGGAACCCTGGGGGGAACCTCAGGTTTGTCTTCATCAGAGTTAGGAGAAGCTCTGTGTATGTAGCTGGATATCCTTATGGCTGGTTTGTTAAAGGATCCGGCTGGTCCTGAATGAGACCTTCTTAATCTTCGGTGAGTTTGAGGCGGAGGAGGATTTGGACTTGGGACACCCCCATTTTGGTCAGATGCACAGTTGAGATCTGCTGCAGAAACAGCTGGGGTATCAAAATATGCATAGTTGATCTGTCCACACCCACAGAAGCTTTGCCTGCCAGGAACATCGTATTTGAAATCAGAAAGCGTATAGTCTTCTAAAAGGAAGTCTGTATCTGAGCTAGTTAGGAATTCTACCTCACAGTCTGTCTCATCCAGAGAGAGGTCTTCAGAGATTGGCAATGGTGGAAGGGGCCTAGAACCCCGTTCACAAAGTGTTGTACTGGGGAAAAGTGAAGGGGAGTTTTTTATGGGTGTAAGTGAAGGAGTAGACGTACAAACCCCATTCACTGAGAGTTTCTTAAAACCACAGACAATTTGATCCTCTTCATGTTGTCCCAAGTTTTCACTGGGGGGAATAATGAGAGGGAGCAAGCTGGACTTTTGAGATGGACCATTTTCTGCAAAGTAGTGGCCATTCATCAGAACAGATTTTGAAGTATGCCCGAAGGATGCTAGGTGCTCCTGAGCAGGAGAGTTCAGACTGTAGGCTGTGGTTATGGGGTCAATATTTAAAAAGTTGTTTTTAAACTCACTGCGACTACCCCAGCAGGTCTTCACGTTGCCCATGGCTTGGCCATTATGTAGAAATCCAGTTTTTAGTGGAACTCTAATTTCCTGAGCGGCAACTCCTGCTGTTGACATTGTGCCTTATTCTGGGATGTCTCCAAACTTGTGAGGTCCAGGGATTTTTAAATCAACCAGTAGCTTTCATTCCCCGGGAGGAGCAGCGGCTGCCCCAGGGCGCCCTCCCGCGCATGTCCGTCCTGGCTCTGGCTGGCTCAGCGCCCGGGGGCGCAGGCGCCTCGCTGCTCTCTCGCTTGCGCTCCCTGTCTCGCACTCTGCCGCTGTCCCTTTTTTTTTTTTTTTAGACAGAGTCTCACTCTGTCACCCAGGCTAGAGTGCCATGGCATCAGCCTAGCTCATGGCAACCTCAAACTTCTGGGCTCAAGCAATCCTCCTGCCTCAGCCTCCCGAGTAGCTGGGACTACAGGCATGTGCCACCACGCCCGGCTAATTTTTTCTATATATATTTTTAGTTGTCCAGCTAATTTCTTTCTATTTTTAGTAGAGACGAGGTCTCACTCTTGCTCTGGCTGGTTTCAAACTCCTGACCTCGAGCAATCCACCCGCCTCGGCCTCCCAGAGTGCTAGGATTACAGGCGTGAGCCACCGTGCCCGGCCGCATTTTTAATTCTAAATCATCATGTTTCCTTCTTTTTTCAGCTTATGGACATAAAACATGGTCATTGGATGAGCTGTACAATTACAGAGACTTACAGAATGAAATACAAAAAAATACCCTCCACAATCTTGCCACCCAGAGAGAACCAATGTGAACATTTTGATGGTTGTCCTTCAGGTTTCTTTTCGAGCTATCAATGTATGTGTATGTATATTTAAAGCAGGGAAAGCAAACTGGAGTCATAATGTCTTTATGGTTCTGTATGCTTATATACTCTTCACTTTTTCTTTCAACTAGAATACATACTTAGTACTAAATCATTCATGCTTTACACAAAGGAGTGTTGTTAGAAAGCAAAAACTTTTCATAATCTGTCTCTGCACAAACCTCTATGAACAGTCTTATGTATAGCCTTCCAGATTTTTTTCTTGGGATACACTTACCTGCACTTCTAATATTTTTATTTACGTAAATCGAGTCATACAACATGCCAAATTGGCAGTTATTATTCTTACTCCATAAATTCCATGTTCCTGTCATTTGTACAATTCTCTACCAGGTTGTTTGTCTTTTATGTGTTGATTTCTAAGAGTTATTTTCCTCTTAGAGACATGAGCCTTTAATATTTAGATTACAAATATTTTCCTAACATGTTGTTTGCCTTCATTTTATGATGTTTTCTTCCATAACAAAGTTCAACATTTTTATGTCATCAGCAGTGATTTTATTTGTTGGGCTTCTGGAGTTCATATCCTGTTTTATTTAGTATTTGACTTACAAATAATTTCCCCAATTGATTCTAAATTTGATGCTTTTATAGTGTTTTCTGCCCTAAATAAGTTTAACATTTTTTTGTATTCAGACATTGATTCATTTTTATTCAACATGGCTTCTAGGTTTTTGTACCATGCATACATTTCTTTTTGTGTGTGTGTGTACCTGTGTTCCAATAAAACTTTTTTTTTTTTTGAGGCACAGTCTCACTCTGTTGACTGGGCTAGAGTGCCGTGGCATCAGCCTAGTTCACAGCAACCTCAAACTCCTGGGCTCAAACAATCCTTCTGCCTTAGCCTCCCAAGTAGCTCAGACTACAGGCATGTGCCACCATGCCCGGCTAATTTTTTCTATGTATTTATAGTTGGCCAATTAATTTCTTTCTATTTTTAGTAGAGATGGGGTCTCGCCCTTGCTCAGGCTGGTTTTGAACTCCTGACCTTGAGCGATCCACCCGCCTCGGCCTCCCAGAGAGCTAGGACTACAGGCATGAGCCACCGTACCCGACCCCAATAAAACTTTATTTATGGACACTGAAATTTGCATTTCCTGTAATTTTATGTGGATACATTTCTTTACTAATGTTTTCTTCTATCAGTTTTCTATTTAATTGTATGCTTTCATTTTTTCCCTATTTAAACCTTTCATTCTCCTGGAAATTTATTTTGCTGGAAAAAGCAAACTCAAGACTAGCCTTATTTTTCTACTAACTTGAGTAATCTCAGTCATTTCACTCTTGGTCTTTCATTTCACTCTGCTTCAAGTTGGTTTTCACTCTGGTTTCTGGCTCTGCCTTTTGTATTTGTGCTCCAGTCACAATCTCTGGCTTAGTCCCTGAGGACACAACTGCTGGTGTCCTGGATGATGACCTCTACCTTCCCACGAGGACAACCTTCCAGCCACATATCTAGGCCTTTATCCTCATAGCCTTCCCTCTGCTACCCAGTGAAGTAATAGCTCTCATTCTGCAACCAGGTAATGTGCTGTAATTACACAGACCTGGATAAATGTGTCATAGGGGAACTTAGGGTTCTAGTAAAATTATGAGCTAAATAACCTGAAACCTCTGTCATCAATAACACTAGGACTACGTGTATATTTACATGTTATGTGTGTCCACAATCTTTTTAAACAAAAGTACTCATAATATTGTTTATAATAGTCAAAATATAGAATAAACACAACTGCTCAATTACCCCCCAATGTAATAGTCCTCTAATCTATTGACCCCTAACTTCCTTTCTGTCATTTTTCCTCATCTTATCCCTATACCTTTGGGATGATAACCCAAACTGAGCCAACCAGATCTCTCTCTCTCTGTATCTCTCTATCTCTCTCTCTCTCTTTCTTGCTGTCAATCTCTCTTTCTTTCTCTCCCCCATCTTCTTCACCCTGTTCCTAGCTTTCCCTATTGTATGCTCAGGTCCTTTCCTCAGAGAGACTATCCAGGCTCCCCCAACCTAAATCAGCTGGAAGAACAAATGTGCAATAATAAAACCAGAGAGGAATTTAGAAATTAGTGAAGACAACATCTTCAGTGGAGAAATATGGATTATTCAATAAATGATGCTAGGATACCTGACTAACCTTTTGAGGGAAAACAAAGTTAGATCAATGTCATTTTTCACATCAAAGTAAATTTCTAGTGGAATAAAATTTTAAGGTTTAAAGATGATGTTATGTGTGAAAAACGTTATAATTTTGCAATGGGTAAGGCTTTCCATGGGACACAAAATCCAGGAATAATAATGAAAAATAAATCACTTAAATACATTTAAATTTTTTAAAACTTCTATATAGAAAAGGACCATGAGCGAAGATAAAATGAAGCAATGAAAAGGCAAAGTATTTTCAAATTATGACAAATATTTGGTGTCTTTAACCAAATATTTGTGTCTTAAACAGCAGTCACCAATCAATAAGTAAAATATGACTATTACAATTAGAAAATGGACAAACGAGGCTGGGCGCGGTGGCTCACGCCTGTAATCCTAGCACTCTGGGAGGCCGAGGCAGGCGGATTGCTCGAGGTCAGGAGTTCGAAACCAGCCTGAGCAAGAGCGAGACCCCGTCTCTACTATAAATAGAAAGAAATTAATTTGCCAACTAATACATATATAGAAAAAATCAGCCGGGCATGGTGGCACATGCCTGTAGTCCCAGCCACTTGGGAGGCTGAGGCAGGAGGATTGCTTCAGCCCAAGAGTTTGAGGTTGCTGTGAGCTAGGCTGATGCCATGGCACTCACTCTAGCCTGGGCAACAAAGTGAGACTCTGTCTCAAAAAAATAAAAATAAAAATAAAAAATAAATTAAAAAAAAAGGAAATGGACAAACGTTATGAATGGACAGTTCTCAGTAGAGGAGATACCACTGGCCAAATATTGTATGGATTGTTGTTAAACCACATTAGAAACCAAAAAGAAAGTAAAACAATATTGAGATATGATTTTGCTTAGTATATGGAGAAAGATTTAAAATATTGAAAATGTTCTGGGTGTGTTATGGGCTGAATTATGTTCCCCCAGAATTTGTATGTGGAAGTCCTGACCCCCAATGTGACTATATTTGGAGATAGGGCCTTTAAGGAGGTAATTAAGTTTAAATGAGATCATAAGAGTAGGGCCCTGATCCTATAGGACTGGAATCCTTTTAAGAAAAGAATGAGCACCACATTGCCACCTTGCACTGTAGACCTTGCTTGGCCTTAGGGCTCAGTTTCTTACTCTCTCAGAATCTTATCAGGACCATTCATGACTGCTCCCAGGTGCTGGGAGATGGGTTTGGTCAGGCTGTTGGGCTTTGGCAATATTCAAAAAGTCCTTTTGGGGGGCCCTGTCCCCTGCCTGCACTGTTCCAATACCCTGCCCTCCACATACAAATAACATGCTTGAGTGACTAGTGTTCCTTTCCTCTCTTGCTACCAAATGTGCCTGCGCTCTGGCTCACCCCTGCTCAGGAACTATCAGTAAAGCTACGAAATGGGGTGAGCGAAACATTCTCCTCTGTCGCAACTCTCCACCCAGGACTCCTGTCCTCAACTTCCATGTCAAGTCTTCAGAAGCCTCTTGAGGGTTATTTCTCAAAACATTTGCCCTGAGCCCAAATTAGGCCATTCTCATGCAGCTTCTGGTTGTGTCTTTGTCTTTGGCACTCATTGAATCCTTAGCCTGACCATGAACCATGGGCTGAATTCCCTGGTGCAGTGAAATTTGAGGATTTGGAAATTTTTTTCAGGAGGATAATTATGTGTATCCACCATCTCATTTACTATAAGTACCCTCGAGGGAGGCACTACTATTATTGTCATTTTGTGGATGAGCGAACAGCCTTGGAGAAGCCTCACAATTCTATTTATGGGGATGGCAGGCAGGGGAATTATTAACATTGTTGACAATTTCAGTGCCCAGTCTAAGTTCCAAGAACTGTATTTCTTGCCTTGCAAAAGTATTATCCACCCACATCTTTCTTTTTAGACTGAGTGAGTGGTTTCTTCTCCTTGGGCTAACTCTGGGCTGTCTAGGGTAGCTGTATCACTGCCTTGTTTCCTCCATCCATACTGATAATCTGAGGGAGGAAGTCAGACAGAACAGAAGCTTTGGAGCCATAAAAGCCTGTTTGTGAATCCCCCTTCAGCATCTTACTAGCTTTCTGACTAAGAGAAAATTACATAACTTGTAGTTTCCTCATCTATTGATAGGAATGACATTTAGTTTATGTATATGAAAGTGCCTACCATTGATTTTGACACCAAGTAGGTGTTCAATAAATGGTAGTCTCTGTTTTTCTTCACAATCTCAGAAAGACCTTTCCTGACTACTCTTCCTAAAA